CCACCAGGGGGCGGGGCTGGCTGGCATGTGGTGCTGGGGGATTGAACCGCGGTCCCTGTGCTTTAGCTGAGCTTGTTCTAAGTAGGTGCTCTAGACCACCGAGCCATCTCACCAGCCCTATTTGGCCTTTAAAGTACCTGCTGGGTGTTAGATTCGGCCAGATTGGATCATGCAGTTCGCCTAGGCACTTTTAGCATAAGCTCCATTAGAAGCAGAGTAGAGATTGCAGTCACGCAGCCTTGGAATTGCGTGTTGAGAGTGAATGTAGCGCTGGAAAGCTTGGGGAACTTGCTCTTCCCAGCACTGGGCGGAAAAGTCAGTTATTGATTAATCTGTGTTGACAGAAAGTGAGTTTCAAGACCTTTCAGTTTCCTGTGTATACTTGGCCACCCGATAAAGGTTTTTAAGTCAACTCTGCTCAGTTTCATTGACTTAAACGTGTGGAATGAAGGGGCCAGGGAAATAGCTCAGTATGGCAAGCGCAAGGGCCTGAGTTCAATCCCCAGTTCCGCAAAAAAAAAAAAGTGTTGAATGACTCACAGCAGAGAGGGAGCTACAGAGCATGGCCAGGTTGGGGTAGAGATCCTTTGCAATTTGGCTGTAGCCTTTGTTACCAACTTTACTTCCTGCTTCCTTGCTCAAATCTTCAACTTCAGTCTGCCTGTGCCTGGAATAAGCCCCAGACACTGTCATCCCTTGCTTGCCTTACTCATCTGCTGGTGACATCTTGCCTCTTCTAAAGAGGCTTTCACACGCGTTGTCTTCAGATGAGAATTGCCTGGTAACCTCCCCTTCTCTCTTGGATGGTTGTTCAGTTGTGGGGGCTTGTTTCTCCCATGCTGACCTCTGTGTGTGTGTGTGTGTGTGTGTGTGTGTGTGTGTGTGTGTGTCTTCTCTCTACAAATGCAATTCCTCTGGTGCCTTGTGACAACAGCTGTTACAATAATATTCTTATCCTGAATTAACTGAGACAGTCTCATGGTTTTAATTCCCTAATTTCTCACATGGAAAATTTTCTTTTACTCCCTCCCTCCCTCTCTCTCTCTCTCCCCCTCCCTCCCTCCTTCCCCCTCCCTCCCTCTTTCCTCTCCTCTCTTCCTTCCTTCCTCCTCTCCTCCTCTCCCATTTCTCTCCCTTCCTCCTCTTCTCTCTCCCTCTCTTGTGGTGCTAGAGCTTGAGCCGATGGCCTTGCGCATGTCAGGCAAACACTACCACTGAGCTACATCCCCAGCCTCTCGTCTTTGTAAATTAGAAGCAAATTATCGGCTGCTACCTTTGAAGTTCTACAGTGTGCTTCAAACCATAGCACTTTTTGTTCTTTAATCTCTCAAAACCTTGTTTGCTTTTTAAAAACCCATCTCTAACATATAAAATCCTTCTTTCCCAAAGATCACCTTGGCCTTTTGTGGGTGGTATAGAAGGTACACAGGCGTTTCCTCTTGTGTAAGCCTCAGCATGTCTGAAACCTGTACACATTTCTGAGGTCACATTTTGAGGGATGGTGAAAAATAGAATATGGTATAAATATTCACAGTACAGTAGGAGATATATATATATATATATATATATACATATATTATATATATATTTGGTACATGAATATGCCATAGTTTGAAGGCTACACTCTAGAACAAAATGCAGAATTTTAAAAATTATATAGTCAGCTAATGTTCATTGAGAAATCTATAGAAAAAAAACCCTGTAGAGAGTTCATTATATATAACATTTAACGTATTATCTTCTAGCCTTTTTCCTGAGCACCAATAAGATTTCTCAGTTCTACCTTACCATTCACTGAAATTACTTTGTTTCGGTTTTTGTTTTTTTTAGAGCCTCTCACTGTGTAGTCCATGCTGGCTTGAACTGGCTGTGTAGCTGAAGGCAGCCACAAACTCAGGATGATCCTCCTGCCTCAGCCTCCTGAGTTCTGGGATTATAGGCATGCACCACCATGCCAGCTAGAATTATTTCTATATGTTATGTGAAATTTTATGAATATTTGAAGATACCCAATAGGATGGATAATTTATGTAACCAGTTCCTTATATGTACATTTAGAATATTTCCAAATTTTTATTACTACCAGTGAATGTGTGCATAACTTCTATCTCTGGAGTGAATTTTTGGTATATTTTCTTAGGGAAGGTTAATGGAAGTGGAATTGTGTGGATAAAGGAAGGGATAAGGTTAAGCCCCCACCACCCATCGCCAGATTACCCCTCTGCTCCCAGGGAAGCCATGGGGGGCCTGGTGGATCCTGACCTCCTGCTGCCCGCGGCAGCCTGGGCCAGATGCACCTGTGCTCCTCCTCTTCCCTCTCTAGATCCCGACCTTGATTGACCGCATGCTCGTGTCGTCTAACACAAAGACTGGGGCTGCTGGAGCGGAGGCCTTGTCTCTTCTGCTGAAGAGGCCGTGGGACCCTGCTGTCGGTGTCCTTTCTCATAATAAGCCAGTAAGTTGGGTGAAGGGGCTTAAGAGTGACACACAAAATGGTTACACTCGGGTCTTGTTACCCTGGCAAGAGGGTGCTACATGGCTTGTGTACCTTCTTTTATTAATAACTTGTTCTTGTTAGTTTGTTTTTGTTTTTGTTTAATGGTACAGTGGTTTGAACCCAGGGAGCGTGGAGCTACATCCTCAGCCCCTCTACTTTTTAAAACTTTGAGGCAGAGTCTTGCTGTGCTGCCCATACTGCCTCAGGCTCCAAGTCACTGGGATTGCAGGCATGTGCCACTGTGCTTGGTAGTAACTTGGTTTTTGTAGAGCTTTGCATACATAACAGTCAAACCCTGAGAGATGCTAGATGCTTCTCCCTCACTAGCTCTCGGGTGGCCTTCTCCCCTCAGAGCAAGCTCCCAGGCTCACCTCTGATTCTCATCGCCTCTTCGGGCCCCTCCAGCTCCATGTTTCCCACCTCACGCCGCCACCGCTTTTGGCAGTCTCAGCTCTCCTGCTTAGGCAAGGTATGTGTGGGCCTCCGGAAACGTGGGTTGGGAGGACAGAGAAGAAACTTCAGGAGTCAGACGGGTGAACTTGGACCTGGAGCAGCCCCCTAACCCTGCTTGTTTGTGTTTGAGTGGTGCTTACTCAGGGTTGGAGGGCTGAGTGGGTCAGGCAGAACTGACGATACAGAGCTCACCTCTGCTGGCTGGGTGTCCTTGTCTCCTCTAGGTCATCCCTGTGGCCACCCACCTGCTGAACAGTGGCAGCGGGGTGGGTGTTCTGCAGTGTCTGGAGCACATGATTGGGGCAGTGAGGAGCAAAGTGCTGGAGGTGAGGTGCCCTGCTTGGTGCCGTATGGGGCACTTGGCATTCTGGGGCTGGTTTGCCCTTGTCTGGGCCTCTTGTGTTAACAGTGTTCTTTCTTTTCCCAAAAAGATTCACAGCCATTTTCCACATAAACCTGTTATTTTGATTGGCTGGAACACCGGAGCTTTGGTGGCCTGTCATGTAAGTAACTTCCTTCTCATTTGGAGGAAATTTCTACTGTCACTTAAGAAATTGGAAATTGTCTCGGGGTACAGTGCTACCATTACTGCTCACTGCTGCCTGGGAGCCCTTTACTGTTGTATTTGAAACTGTGGAAGATAAGCTTTACTTTTTTTTTTTTTTTTTTTTTTTTTTTAATATTTTTAGAATATTCATTTTATTCTTTTTTTTTTTTTTTACTTTTTTGTTTTTTAAAGTAAAACAAAATTTCATGACTAAAGATAACAGTAGTTAACAGACTGTGTATCATACTCTTAAAAGCTTTAGTTTTTTTACTTTCTTATAGAAAATTGTAAGCAGAAACAACAGCAGGGAAAGTAAACTCTTGGGCCTCTCCCCCAGCTCTGCCCGTCATCAGCTCCTAGTCAGGCTTGTCTTAACCTTGCCTGGTCTCTTTCTCCCCCAGGTTTGGCTCAGTTCAGCTCATTAGCCCAGGCTGGTTTTGAACTTGTGATCTTTCTGCCTCAGCCTTGCAAGTGCTAGGATTACAGATGTGCTTCCTTTTTACCCCACAGGTTATTTTGAAGAAAGCTTGAAATTAATAGTGCTGGAATTTAATGTTATGTTTACATTTGTTGTCTTTGTAAGACCAAAGGGACTTGTTCATTATTTTTTTTTTTCTTTTCAAAGTTTTATTGATAAACATATAGCAATGAGACAGTTTCAAATCAAATCGAAAGTACAGTTTCAACAGGGACTTGTTCATTATTATTTTTTTATTTTATTTTTTATTTTTATTTTTGGCAGAACCAGGGATTGAACTCAGGCCCTTGTGCTCACCAGGCAAGCGCTTATTCTATTGAGCCATCTTCCTGGCCCGGGACTTGTTCATTATTATCTTAGCTTCTTACGTCTGCCAGTTAATGTATCCCTGACATGTCCAAAGCCTCATTCTTCTACCAAGTATGACCCCCTATAGTAGGAAGGCGTCTTGATTATATCGCCTGCAGGCCCAGGGACAGCAGAACCCAGCACTGACTGCTCTGAGCAATCTGGGGTGGCTGGGAGCTATTCTGAAGCCCAGCAGAGCAAAATTTTCTCCACTTAAAGGAAAATGACAACATTTGTATTCTCTTTTTTGTTTTATGTGTGCTGGGCTTAAACCAAGGATCTCTCTTCTACCACTGAGCTGCATTCCCAGCCCAGCAGTGCATGTGTTCTCTTTGTTTGTCTTAGTACCAGGAGAAACAGCAGGACCCCTGTATTCAAGGGAGTGACTGGACTGGGTGAAGTGTTAAGCCTTCAGCCATCTGGCAGTCCTTTCAGGGCCCCAACTGAAAGGCTGCTAGGGGCTGCTTACAAGACAGGGCACCTTGTGTTTCATGATCTTCCACTGCCTCGATGGCTGACTCCTCTGGAATAGCACAAGGGCAGGGGAAGTGGGACTGGCTGCTGGGGTTGGACCACATCTGGATCTGGGCAGGCTGAGATGCAGTGAAGTCAGTTGCCCTTCAGACGGATGGTGCTGTTCGTTATTCACAGGTGTCAGTGATGGAATATGTCACGGCTGTTGTCTGTCTTGGGTTTCCTCTCCTTACTGTGGATGGCCCTCGAGGGGTAAGAATGAGGTGAAGCTGTACGCTGGGATAGGAATGAAGGGAACACGGGGTGGGACTGTGCCCTGCCTGGCTGGGGTCAGTGTTCTGAGAGGGTGAGCAGACTGAATCTAAAACCTGTCCCTATTGCAGGATGTGGATGATCCCCTCTTGGACATGAAGACTCCAGTCCTATTTGTCATTGGTCAGAACTCTCTGCAGTGTCACCCTGAAGCCATGGAGGACTTCAGGGAAAAGATACGGGCGGAGAACAGCTTGGTGGTGGTGGGAGGAGCTGACGATAACCTCAGGTAGGCAGTCCTCAGGACTGTGCAGAGCGCCTGGCAGAGTTAGAAGAGTGCTGGGGGGGCAATGTTAAATACCAACGTGGTGCTGTTAAGAAAGAGCATTGGGGGGCTAGGGAGATAGATGAGCGATCTAAGCACCTGCTTAGGCAAGCACAAGGATTTGGGTTCCATCCCTGATACTGCATGCTGTGCCAGCCCCGGAATCCTGGGAACACCTTGCCAGCCACTAAAACTAAGCGTAGTGTGCATGCCTGAAATCCCAGTGTTGGGAAGGCTGAGACAGGAGGATCACTATGAGTCTGAGCTGCATAGCGAGACTCTCTACTAAATAGATAAATAAGTAAATGATTTATTTTTAAAAAGTAGCATTGAGCTGGGCATGGTGGTGGACACCTGTCACCTGTAATTCCAGCATTCAGGAGGCTAAAGCAGGAGAACTTGAGTTCAAGACCAGCATGGGCTACAAAGTGAGCTCAAGGCTAGCCTGAACTGCACTGTGAAACCCTGTCTCAGATTCCCGCCCCCCCCCCAAAAAAAAAAGGATTAATACTTTGTAGAAAGTTTAACTTCAGATTTATAAAAGGTGGTAAAATTAGGTCAGAGAGTCACCTGTACCTTTCACCTAGATTTCTCGAGTGTTGACATGTTGTATAATAAATATAATTCCCAAAACAGGAGAATAGCACTGCCATGACGGCCTTATCACAGCTGCAGACTAAGACGTCATCCATTATTGCCCCGATACCCTTTTCTGACCCTGATCCAATCCGGGATCACACTTGTCCCTCCTTCACCCATCTCCTTTACAGTTCCACAGTCTGTCTTCCACGACTGTGACATTATTTTAAAGACTGCTACTCAGTTGCTTTATAGGTTATCTTTTAGTTTCAGTTACTGACATTTATTCTGATTGCATCATGATGTGCCTTTTTGACAGGAGGGCCTCAGTGTGTGCTGCCTGCTGCCTCCTCTCAGGAATGCCTGCCACTGAGCTGTCCTAGCACCATGAGTAGCAGCCCTGAGCCCTGACCACATGGTTAAGGGCGCTGCTGCCAGGTTCTCCGCTGTGAAATTACTGCTTTTCTGTGTAATTAGTAGCTGTCTTATGGGGGAAAGATACTTTGAGTCTTTGTAAATACACCTTTTGTCTACTTTCACTTGGGCTGGCAATTTAAAATTTTTATTCCTTAGGATGAATGTGAGCATAGCTGTTACTTGTGTGAAGCTCCTTGGGTATCTTTCAGAGTATAAGTGCAGGGGCAGGGCTGTAGCAAGACGGCCTTGCTCATTGAGACGCCGCTCAGCTTGCTCACAGTGCCAGGCACGTGGGCCTGGAGTTAGATTTTCATGGCATGCTGAAAACAAGAGTGACTTTGATTTGGTCTTATGTTCCTATGCACTCAATCTTACAGATTAGTTTTTGCTGTATATTTAACTAGCGAGCTTAAAGTTAAGTCCCTGCTCCTGTCTTTCCAGTTTGCTCTGTAGATTTTGCGAAGTCCTCCTGGCTTTGGTGATTCTTCAGCTTTTTGTTTAATTTGATGTTTAGTCTTTGAATCTCATTGCTGTATTTTCATGTAAACATGTTTTTCCTAGTATTTCAGACATTCTTTGATATGAAAGGAGAGGAGGAGGGGAGTTGATAGCAAGGCTACCACATTACAAAACTGGTTGGAGATCTTCTCATAGTACTACAGCCTTGGCTGAGAATTGGGAGACCTCAGTCTCTACCTCTTTGCCTAGAAGGTTGGGTACATTACTTAATACAGGCAACTGTGTGCTGATGTGAGTAATACCAGGTTTTGTTTTTGGAGATAGGGTCTCACTTTGTGGTACAGGCTGACCTTGAGCTCACTGTGTAGTCCCAGCTGGCTCAGTGATCCTCCTGTCTCTAGCTCCCAAGGTCAGGGATTACAGCCATGTGTCACCATGTCCAGCTTTACCGAGTACTGTATACAGGATCAGGCACTTAATAGGCAGTCAACTAGGGGGTGTTATTGCCCATCCTATAACATGGAGACCTGGTTTTTCTTTGTCAGTCCCCTAGTTAGAAGCCAGAGTTTAAAAGCTAGCTTTTGGTGGGGGGAATATAGCTGTATAGGCATTTTTTCATCTCTCTCTTTTTTTTTTTTTTTTTTTTTTGGTGGTACTGAGGATTGAACACAGGACCTTGTGCTTGCCAGGCAGGTGCTTATGCCGCTGAGCTGTCTTCTAGGCCTCCTTTCACAGCCTTGTAAAACTAGCCAGTAAGCCTCTATTTCTTCTAATCCAATAACCTTGAAGTGGATGGGGGCCCTGCTTGGGCAACTAGGGTGAGGGCCTAGCAGTCCACGTGGACTTTACCTGTTAAGCCAGGAGTTTGGGACTTTCAGAGTCCACAGTCCCAGGAACTGTGCTTGGTTCTTTATATAGGCTGTTTTTTTGTGTTTCTAGTTTGTCTTGAACTCACTGTATAGGCCAGTCTGGCCTTGAACTGGAGCCAGTGTCCTGCCTCAGCCTCCTAAGTGCTGGGATTGTAGGCATGTGCCAGCACACCCAGCTGTACAGGCTGCTTTGTTTAATCCCTACAACTGCCTGAATAAGGTATTAGGATTCCTGTTTTGGCAGACATAAAAATAGGCTCAGAAAGATTGCATCACCTGCCTTTAGCTAATGTCGCTTTTATCCCCAGGCCTAGAAAGCAATGAGGATGACGAATCCATTCTTCCACAGGAGGCCATTGGCTGCTGTGTTGAAATATTAAAACATTTTCTCTTTTTTCCTCTTAGAATAAGCAAAGCAAAAAAGAAATCGGAAGGTTTAACTCAGAGCATGGTGGACAGATGTATTCAGGTACTGTTGCCTTGCGTCTGTCTCAGCTAGACTCTCCTTTCTCTCCATTTGAGGCTTAGTTTTGTTGGCCGCAGCCTCTGGCTCCGAGTGCGCAGGGGATCCACTGGGCCTCGGGTCGGCCTGAGGTATACACAAAGCAGGGGGAAAGGGGGAGAACGGGAGCAGAGAGTCATGAGCTGAGAAGGTGGGAGGCTGGTGAGGCGGGGTGCACTCCCATCCCCTCTACTGCACCCTTCATGGCGCCTGCTGGAGGCCAGAGCCGAGGTGGAGTCACTGAGCTTCTGGGTGCTCCCTGTTCTCCTGAGGTGGCCTCAACAGTTTTGGCTCCTTCTGACACTAGGACGAAATCGTGGACTTCCTGACTGGGGTTCTTACTCGCACTGAGGGCCATGTGGGCTCAGAGCCTCGGGACCAGGATGCCGAGAAGAAGAAGAAGCCCCGCGAAATGTCCCGCAGAGACCTGGCCTTCGAGGGCCCTGAGCGGGGCAGTCGGCCTGCTTCCCCGGCTGCCAAGCTGCCTGCCTCGCCCTCAGGCTCAGAGGTAGCGCTGGCTGGGAGGGGGCGGGCCAGGGAGTGAGGACCACATCTGTGGCTCCCTGGAAGTGCCTGCAAGGGAGCTCTGGGGGACACCCTAACGATGGTGGCCCAAAGGACGCTGGCTCACCTCTTGGCTTCTCCCTCTGTTCAGGATCTCTCCAGCGTGTCCAGCAGCCCCACCTCCAGTCCCAAGACTAAAGTGACCGCAGTGACCTCCGCCCAGAAGTCCAGTCAGATTGGGAGCTCTCAGCTGCTGAAGAGGCACATGCAGCGGACAGAAGCTGTGCTGACCCACAAACAAGCCCAAGGTACAGGCTCTTGGCCTGGCAACCCCCAGGGCATCTGCTTCTGAAGTCGTCGTGCAGCACTAGGAAACATCTGATCTGCAGCTTTCTCCAGGGGGTGTGAGGGGCAACCTTCCCCACATCCTTGTCCAGGCAAAATTTGGTTGAAATGAATCCCAAGGACTATGCCTCAGTGGGGTTTTCTGGTCCCTAGTTACAGCTTTCCTTGTGCAGTGAGAGTTGGGTTTATGAGATGGCCGTGTGTATGCCAGCCTACGCTCTTCCTTTTTTTTTTTTTTTTTTTTGGTGGAACCGGGGATTGAACTCAGGCCCTTGTGCTTGCCAGGCAACCACTTATTCTACTGAGCTATCTCCCCAGCCCTACGCTCTTCCATAACATTCAGTGGGAAGCTGCGTCTTTATGTGCTCCAAGCTCCACCAACCTCCCCTGTAGGCAGGGCTCTCTCCAGATCATACCTGCAGGATGACACTCTATTCACCAGATTCTGGGGGAACTCTCTTGGTCTTATGTTCTTTATTTTGCCCTGAAAGTTAAGCTTCCTTTGGTGGGATCCTGGTGGAAGTTGGCCAGGGTTCTCTGCACATAGGTTTTAGATGATGCTGGGGAAACATTTGCATAGTTGAAATTAGTGTGGAGAGTTCAAGTGCTCCACGAGGAACTGTAGAAATAGGACAGCCCGGGAATCAGAGAAAGCAGCAGCAACAGCAGTCCCCACACACACCAGGATCCAAGTTGCTGCCTCTTCAGCACTGGTGTTTGACGCGGTATCAAGAGCAGGTGCATTTGATGTTCTTGGGAATAGCTACTGAGAAGAGGCAACGGCCAAAGCTGGCTGTTAAACAGAGGATGCCTCGGGCAGAGTAAGCTAACCTTGCTTCCCCTGTGTGGCTGTTAGTAGAGCCCAGGCCTCTTATTGCTCAAAATAGGAGCAGAGGTGTACGTGTGGTTGAGGGCAGAGTCAAAGCCCCGCAGGTCTGTGAGGATGCTCTGGGAGCTGGCTGTTCCTGAGTGGTGGCCACAGCCTAGTTGCAGGTGTCCCTTGAGACATGTGATGAGGACAGATGAGCTGCTTGCAGTCCTCTGGGAAGTGTGACGGTCCAGAACCTGAGGAGTTCTAGAAGACTGATGGCTGAGTTGGGTTCAACACAGGGCTTAGAGGCTCCCGGGGGCAGCAGCAGCGGTGGCAGGCTGGCCTTAGCAGAGCTGATGGACAGGTAGGGACCAGCAGCTCACGCAGAAAACCCCACCGTGGCCTTCAGTGCCCTGGTTCGCTGACTCTCGTGGCCCAGGAGGCCTGTGCGTGTTGTCCTCAGTCTATGGAGGTTGTGTGGAGCTACTTGCTCATGGCAGTGTGAGACCTCAGAAGGAGCTGGCCATGTCCGTCTTTTTTTCTCACTCTCTCCTTCCTCCTTCCTTGGCTGGCTGTGATTCTGTAATTCTTTCTGATTCATTCCAGCACAGTTTGCTGCTTTTCTGAAACAAAACATGCTGGTGAGGAAAGCTCTTCCTCCCGGCACCTCCTGTCTCGTCGGTGAGTATGCTCTTGCTCTCCTGCTTGCCCTCTGCTTTCTGCTCTTCTCCCTGCCTGTCTGCCACGTGTTCCGTGTCCTCCTGTAGCTGCTCTCTGGCACCTCTGTCTCCTGGTTCTTCCACTCACCTTTGCTTACGTGGTCGGTGGCCTCTGCTCTTTCTCCATTCTTTTTGCTGGCTCCTCATAGTTTGCTTTTTCTCTCACTTGCTGTGGCTCTCAGCTGTGCTTCTCCTTTGTGTGCCCAGTGCCTGAGTCTGAGTCTCCCTGTCTGTCTCTCCCTCTCATCTGTTTCTATTTCGGCAGCTGCAAGCATATAGCTGCTTCTGTGTATGACACCTGTCACTCCTATTTCTCTGCCTGTCTTCTTCCTCTGGTTGCGGCCAGCACACCTGTCCCAGAGTTGTCTCTCAGCTGGTGACACCCTCCTCATGGGCCCAGGCCAGGACCCCCTGCCCCTCCCGCCTCTCAACCCTGCATGCCTGTACTGATGGGCTGGGAGGCTTCCGATCTAGAGGAGGGAACCACTGCAGGGACCCGAAGAGCAGCTCGAGTCCACAGGCCAGCTATGTGCACAATGTGTCTGTGGGAGTCAGTGCAGGGAGGAGCCCGAGGTCGACCAGCACTGGCACAGATGACCTAGGGACTAGTTGGTGACATGGGCTATGCTGTTAGGAGAGCCACCATGAAGTCCTGGTGCCTGTGCTCATTGCCTCTGTTGACCAAGCAGGCACTCAGCCTTGGGCTCTTAGGGCAAGAGATTCCTGAGAATCCTGTAGAAAGTTGCCGTGTGACACTGGGTGGCTTGCTCTGCTGAATGCTTTGTGCAGTATTCGCTGCCACCAGTTGTGGGAAGACGTAGGGAGGGCTACAACCAGAAAGCAGGGCTTGGGGAACCTCTGGTCTGATGCTGCCTCTGTGGCCAGGGTCAGTGCATCCTCTGTCCTCGTTCCACCAGCACATGCAAGGTCCCTTCCATGTGCTTCAAGGTCAGGTGACAGATGGAGTGGTACCATCGCCCAAGAAAAGCGAGGAGGGGTCACCAGGCAGGGCCTGAGCTGGGGCTTGCAGCATGGTGTGAATATGGGGCAACGTGCCCATGCGCCCCCTCAGCAACATTGTCCTGGCTGTGCAGGAGCTGACACGCACTCCCTGTCTTAGTTCCCATTTCCTCAGAGCCGGCAGAGGAGACAGAGAAGGAGGAGCTCAGGGTCCAGCTGAAGCGGCACCACCCCTCTAGCCCCCTTCCTGGCAGCAAGGCCTCCAAGCGGCCCAAGATCAAAGTGTCTCTCATCTCACAAGGGGATGTGGCTGGAGGGGCTCCAGAAGGTAAGCCTCAAAGAGGAACTGAGGAAAAAAAAAAAAAAAAAAAGAGGAACTGAGAGATACCAGGTACAGGTCTCAATTCCCTGGGGTGATTGTGATCACCATGCACATCTAAATTGTACCAATAAACTTAATTATGGAAAATAAAAAATTGCTTGAAAGGTGAACCTCGTGGCTGTGAGAAGCGGTCTGGCGCTGGAGGCACAGAGCGCTGCCCTCTGAGGCAAGCCTTGGAGCTTGGAGGGGCAGCGATCTATAGGGAACAGGAGCTTCAGAAATGGAAGGGGGAGTGACCCCAACGGCCCCCGTGTTGACCTGGCTGTTCTTTCTGCCACTAGGCCCTGTCTGTAATACGGTGTCTTGTGCTCCTCTAGGTTGTGGACTATGGAAGGGTAGGGCCGAGCAGAACTGACCCTGACCTTGCGTCTCTGTTTTGCAGCTGCAGGAGGAAAGCCCATTACTGTGACGCTGGGACAGGCGTCCGCAGGGACCAAGGAGCTCACTGGGCTGCTCACTACCGCCAAGTGAGTTATCCACTAGGGCTCTCCAGTCCGTGCTTTCCCTTCAGCCCCGTCTGGCTCTTTTGTGCTTCAGGAATATGATGGATTCCAGATTCTTCAGTCATGGGAACATGACTGCTCTCTAGTTGGGACTTTCTGTCTTTGATTTGGGTCTACTGAGCATTTGTTCACTGTTAGGTGGAGATTGTAACATCTTGTTGGAAGGACTAGGTTCTCCAGGCCTACTTAGGACCAGTAACCAGCTTCAGGAATGGATCAGGAAGTCTCAGGCTCTGGACTGTTTCTAGGATTAAGGGCCTTGCTGGCCCGCACTAGCCCTCGCTGTGTCCAGAGCCTGCTGCACACTGGACCTGGACCACTCAGCTCCTGTCTCTCTCCAGGTCAAATGTTTCTGAAGGCGGAGCCACGGCCAGCCCCGGGGTCTCCAGTGGCACCTCACCCAATGCCCTGCATGCGCTCCAGAGCCGCCTGGTGGCCACATCTCCTGGAAGCTCCCTCCCAGGTATACTGTCACCCAGTATCCCCCAGCACGTCATCCTGCTGGCAGGGGGTCCTGGACAAGCCTCGAGCTGGCCCAGAAGGGTACAGCGCAGTCATCACAATGTGGGTGGTCAATGGTAACAGACACTTACTGGAAGCCAGAGTCAGTGTGGGTGGAGAGAACTCCTTAACCTGGATGTCTGCAGTGAGCACATGTTGCTATCTTCGGAGGTTTTATCCTCTCCTATAACGACTGGGAACAGGGTTGGTAATGTCACTTGGTGTTGAGCACTTGCCCAGCAGGTACCAGGTCCTGCTTCCATCCCCTGCATGGGGACAGGGTTAAGGAGATAGGACTAAGGATGAGAAATAGCTTGTCAGTGATAGATGCTTTGTGTTATATTTGGGGTTTTAAACACATATGACTGAATACAGCTGCAAAAAGTGCTGTACTAGTTATTAGCAAAATGAACTGCTTCCCCGCCTGTCCTGTCCTTCATTTTCTCTAACCCCACCTGCACAGAGAGGCAGTCAGCTGATCCCACAGGCTGGCACTGTAGACCTCCCCCTCCTTCAAGAGAATCTCCTTTTGGTGCCACGGCCGTGGGACTGCATGCAGGTGAAGTGTAAGTCAGGTGTCTGGAAGCTGTGGGCCTTAAAAAGCCCTTCCTGGGCTGGGCGATAGCTCGGCAGTGTAAGCACCTGCCTGGTAAGTGCAAGGTCCCAGGTTTGATCCCCAGTACCGTGTGCCGTACCTGGCCCTGTGTGCAGAGCCAGCCACTGAAACTGGGCATGGTGGTGCACACCTGTAATCCCAGTGCTTGGGAGGCTGAGACAGGAGGTTCGCAAGTCCAAACTGTATAACAAGACCCTGTACTGAGTAACTAAAAAAGCTCTTTTCCCAGTGCTGTCCTGAATGTGGGACCACCTGGTGGGAACTACCAGGTTCAGAGCAGGCTGAGATACACAGCACAAATTCAAGGTTGCGTCTGCGCACCATGTCGTGCTGGTGGTGACCCTCCTGAAGCAGAGTGTCCAAGGACGCCCAGGAGTCAGGCAGTGTGGCTGGACCATGTGGCTCCCTTGGGGACCTGTGCCCAGTTTGCTGATGCTCATTTTATCCTCTCCTAGGGGCCACTTCAGCCAGCAGCCTCCTGCAAGGCCTCAGCTTCAGCCTGCAGGATATTGGCAGCAAGAGCTCCAGTCTCCCGACAAACCCCTCTTCGGGCCTGGCTGCACAGGTGGGCTCCTGCTTCCACAGCCCAGCTGGCTTTGGCAGGGTGGCGGGCCTGGAGTCAGCAGGTCAAGGGCAACCATCTAGGAGCTGCCGGTGGGGAAGGCCCGTTGCTTACTGTGTGACTGAGGGCAAGTTTCTTGGTCTTGTTCCCTTTTTTGTAAAATGAGATCGTCATAGTAGCTCCCTCCAGCTTATGAGGACTAAAGATGATATATGCCAAGAGCCTGGCAGAAAACCTGGCCTGTGGTGGGTACTACGTGTATGTCAGCCTTCAGCGGTGTGCTGTGGGCACTCCATGCTCGAACCCTGCTGCTGGATGTCACCTTCTGACTGCTTGGGCTTGTGTGTCCCACAGGCCACCAGTGTGAAGCTGTCCACCCCCATGCAGAGCCTGGGTGCCATCACCACAGGCACCAGCACCCTTGTCCGCACCATTCCAGTGGCCACCACTCTGTCCTCCCTGGGCACTGCCCCTGGTGGGAAGCCCACGGCCATCCACCAGCTTCTGACCAACGGGGGCCTTGCTAAGTTGGCAAGCAGCCTTCCTGGCCTGGCTCAGATCTCTAACCAAACTTCAGGTGAGTCTGGTGAGAAAATGGGGCTATTTTCCGCTGGGGAGCTCCCATTTTGTGTGGGCAAGGTCTAAGCCCAACTCCATTTGTCCTCGGAGCACCCGCAGGTTCAGCCACGTGGACTCAGCCCTAGGGAGGCCAAGGCTGTACAGGCCATGTCCTGTTGCCCCTTGGGGTTGCTGACTGAGAGTGCAGTGCCCCGCTGGGAGGACGCTGAGGGGTGTGTCTTGTGGGGAGCATTCTCTCAGGAGTAACAGGGAAGCCATGACCAAAACCCCTGTTTCCCTCTCCCTCTTTCCCCTTTTCTCTTTCTGCCCCTCAGGCCTGAAGGTCCCTACCACCATAACTCTGACGCTCCGTGGCCAGCCAAGCAGAATCACCACGCTGAGCCCCATGGGTTCAGGGCCGGCCGGGCCTGAGGAGCCTGCGTCCCAGGCGCTGGCCTCCAGCTCGCAGGTGAGTGCCCAGGGAAGCTTGGGCAGCCAGCAGCCGACTGGAGGAGCTGGCCTGCACTGCTGCTGTCAGCAGGCATTGCAGGTCCGCTTGGCTTTGCCGCTGGAGCAAGTCAGGGGCAGTTTGAGGCTGCTTAGATAGTAAATGCCCGAGTGCACGGTAGTGGCAGCACCAGGCTGCTTACCCGCTTCCTCCTCCGCCTACCCGGCCCATCATTGGGAGCTATCGGAATGCTGCTCAGCCCATTCTCTCTGCCTAATGCCTTTTCACATCTTTGTGTTGGTTGCTGTCCTCTTAGGGCATGGCCCGTCCCAGTAAGTCACCATCACTTCTTACCCAACCAGGTTCCTGTGATTTTTGTTGATGTTGGCTTGATTTTGTATTTTGTAGCTAGGGTCTCACTAGAGGCTAGTATTTCCTTCCTGAACCTCCTGCCTCAGGCTCTCAGGTGTTGGAATTGCAGGCCCGTGCCTCTACCCTGGGTCCAGTGTACCCTTTTCAATAAAATGTTTGTAATCTTTAAAAAGTTCCAGGGGCCAGGGAGATGGCTCAGTAGAATAAGTGCTTGCCTGGCAAGCACAAGGGCCTGAGTTCAATCCCCGGTTCCACAAAAAAAAGTTCCAGCCCAGTAGAGTGGAGTGTGCTTTCCTCTACAATATGCTCTTCAGCTGGGACCGCCGTGTGTGGGAGGGTGCTCTTCCTTCCTTCTACACCCCTACCTGGGTACGACTGGCAGGTGACAGTGCTAAGCCACCCCACAGCCCTTTGTCTCATCTGCTTTTAGGGAAAATGCTGTGTTGAGATTGATGCCTGATACTCATTGGGCTCACCGTAGTATATTTTTGCAGGGGGCTGGAAGCATTTTTACTCATTTTTTCAACTGCAAAAGCAATTTTGCTTGCTTTAAATTATTCAGTCACTGCAGAATTAATTTAAAATGAAAACTTCCCATCATGCTATTCCTAGAGAAGGTACCCACCATAATGGTTGCTGTGAAGCAACCATACTTGAAGATTTTTCTTGCCCCCCACAAAAAAAAGATTTTTCTTCTTATACACAGTACATAATTTTGAGGAGGCAGGAAGGATTCATGGTATATGAATAATTTTGTAGCTAGCCTTTGCTTGTAAGTCATGTTTGGGACATGCTTCTATATGGGTGACATGGAGCCATGGCTCCCCTCTTAGAGCCTGGCTAGTGTTCCACTGCATAGATTTATGAAGGTATGTCTCCCCCCCCCTGGTGATAATGGCGGTTGGGTTGTTCTGTGCTTTGGCACAGTGTACAACTTTACTTGGGATTCTAGAGACCTTCTGGAAGCTAGATAGAGAGTAAGTGGAGGGTACAGGCTTTCACCTGTGCCCAGCCGCTGGCTGGCTGCCCTTTACATGGTTTGTAATCTTCACTTCTAGTCACAGGCATGAGAATACCTGTTTTCTATAATACGCATTTTTCCTTGACTACTTCTGATATATTTTCTTTTATGAATTGCTTGCCATATTCACCTGCTTGTTTGAGATTTTTGTTTGTTTTTTAATGTATTTGGTTGTTATAGGATCTCACTATTCAGCTCGGACTCATTGTGATTCTCCTGTTTTCACTCTCCAGTGCTGGGATTACAGGCGTGTTTCACCACAGCCAGACTCTGGCCTGTTTAGCCCACCTTGGGGACGGGACTGGTGTATGTAGCATGTGGTGCCAAGGGTTGGACCACGCTTCCTGCACTTGCCTAAACTTGCCTAAGCAGGCGCTGTAGTCCACTGAGCTATCTTGCTGCCAACCACCCCCCACCCCGCTTTTTTTTTTTTTTTTTTTTTTTTTTCCAGTTTTAAGACAGAATCTCTGTATAGTTCAGGCTGGCCTTGAATTCACTGTGTGGCCCAGGCTGACCTGGAACTCATGGCAATCCTCTTGCCTCAGACTCCTCAGTGCTGGGATTATAGGTGTGTACCAGGCCCATCTATTTGACGTATTCTTTATCTGGTATGTAGTAGTTTCTATTTCTGAGTCTTCCATTAAGTGTACATTTAAAGTTTTTGTATGCTAAAATGAAATAGTGGGCTGGTGAGATGGCTCAGTGGTCTAAAGCACCTACTTAGAACAAGCTAAGCTAAGCAAAAGCACAGGAACCGCGGTTCAATCCCCAGCACCACGTGCCAGCCAGCCCCGCCCCCTGGTGGGCTGAGCTGCCCCCCCCCACAAAATTAATTAATTAATTAAAAAAAATCTCTGGAGATGTAAATATTAAAAATAATAATAATAAAATGAAATAATATTGTGTGTTTCCGTAATAGGGCAGTGTCTTATTTTTTCTCATATTGTAATGCATTACAGTTATATACAAATGCTACTTTCCTTAGTAGTTTGGTAAGGGAGATGGCTCAGTAGAATAAGCGCTTCCGTGACAAACGCAAGCGCCCAAGTTCAGTCCCTGGTTCCACCAAAAAAAAAAAAAACAACTTCCAGTGATGTCGTAGTAGTTTGGTGGAAGTGGTATCCAAGGCCATTCGGGGCTGTTTTAGGCCATTGTGGCCTTTGAGGATGTCACATTGATGCACAGCTAGAGTGCAGGTCCCCGCCTGTGTTGCTTCCTCAGTGGCAGGTGATCTTCTGCAGCGTGGCAGGCCTGGGGAGCTGGGCAGTGCCAGGAAAAGAGTAGAGCCTTATCTTCAGGGGCTAAATCAAGGCCCAGGACAAAGATCAAGTTTTTGCTTTTGTCTGATGGTGGCAACATCAGGTTAGTTTGCATGTGGTAAAGGGTATGATTGTTAGGAGGGTGTAGTGGTGGGCCTTTTCCTATAGGCAAGGTGTTACTCAGTCAGGGTTTCAGTAGTTGCTGCAGTGTTCACACTGCACACAGTGATGCTGAGGACAGGAGCCAAGTGGGGGCGGGGCAGCCATCCTTTCCCAACTAGCTTTGTGATCTCGGGCAACTTGCCTTACCTCTCTGGGCTACGGTTTTCTAATCAAGTTCAGTGGCTTAACTCGGTGACTTTTGTGGTTGGTGGGGTTAGCAGCGCCTCAGCACTTTGGAAACACAAATATTTGAAGATTGAAAAACCACCCATTTTGGGGACTGGGAATATAGCTCAGAAGTAAAGTCCTCAGTTCAGTTTCCAGCACACACAAAAAACCCACCCATTTTTGGCATGTGTGAGACAGTTGGAAATTTGTATTCTCACTTGATATTAAGGAGTTGGCAATCTTTGCGTGTACGATAATGGTGTTGCATTTAAGTTTTAAGAATACTTTTTTACTCTGGGGTTACCTACTATACCATTTCTTCATAAAATCTACTTAAAAAGGACTGTAAGCTAGGTCTAGTGGCACATGCCTGCAATCCCAGCTACTTAAGAGGCTGAAGCAGGAGGATCACAAATTGGAGACCAGGGGGCCTGCCCCTTAGCTCAGTTCTTTAAGTGGCTGCTTCAACAGAGCAGTTGAAGCCAGCCAAACCTGCCCTGAAGGCATTCGGAGCAAAAAAAAATCCTTCTGCCTTTTTTAGGAAGAATATATGCAATGTGTTAATTATTGAATCTGTCCTACCAATTTGGTTTGAAACTGTCTCATTGCTATTTGTTTCTCAATAAAATTATGGCGGGGGGGAACCAAAGTGGAGACCACAGTGGGCAGCTTAGTGAAACCTTGAAATAAAAGGACTGAGGATGTGGCCCCATGGTAGAATGCCTTGAGTCTGACCCCCAGTACCAAGGAGAAAAGAAGGACAATAGTAAACCCCACTTAGACTTCCGAAAGGTCACTGAAAACTGGTGTCTGGCACTGATTAATAATAACTGTTTCCATAATAGAAACAGACACGTTGTGCCTACAGTGCACAGGCTGCTGAGGAAGAGGAGGAACGCTATGCCTGGCATCTGAGCCCTCAGATGAAGGAGTCCTTGCTTGCTCATGGTCACCCGCGCTCCACTGTCCTCCTGGCCACTCTTGGCCTTGCTGAGCTGTAGCCCGGGACAGTGGCCTCCCTGATCCTTGCCACAGCCCCTGAGCGCATGGGCTCTTGCAGGCTCAGACGTATTTAACTGGCTCCATGGGAGCTGCCAGGGTGGGTCCCTGGAGCTTTTGAGCATCTGCCGTCTCATCCCTTCCCATCTCTCCATCCTCCCTCCCTCTGCTGTGTCCTCTGAATCTCCCAGGTATGAAGTCCAGAAAGGTGGTAGGAGACTCAGTGCCCTTGTCTACTTATTTCCTTCTTCCTAAAGTGGAGCGCTTCAGAACCTGACACTGTTTTTGACTACTAGTTTTTGCAGTGCTGTGGATTGAATCAGAGCCTTGTGTGTGCTGGGCAAGGGCTGTGTCCTTAAGCCCCACGCCTTGTCCCAAGGCTCAGCTCTTTATGCTGTTTCCCACACATCTGCAGAGTGACTTAAGAAATGATGTCAGAACAGTTATGGAAATCTTCCCTTTAATTCTGTCACTCTTTGTGACTTACTGGTCTCTTTCCTGTCTCCCTTCCTATCATTTGTGAGAGCTGACCGTTGTGGCTGAGCACATAGAATATCCTAGGTGCTTTCTGTGGCCTGACTCAATCCTCACAACCATCCTGGGAAGTAGGTACCTGTGTCCCATTGGTGAGGAAAAGGAGGCTCATAGGGCTGGGCACTGTGTGTCCTGAAGTGAGGGGTGCCTCTTGATTGCAGAATCTGTGTCCTCAAAATCACATGACTGCCAAAGCACATACCCTTGTGTATCTGGCTGTTTCCTTGTCCAGCCTGTTCTTTGGAATACTCGGGATGGGGTAACAGGGTCAGGGGGTCGGGTGTGAAGCCTGCAAAGCTCTGACCTTTGCTCATTGCTCTCCTGCCACAGCGCCTGCCTCCTGCGCCCTGAAGATGCTGTCATGTGTCCTCCTTACCAGGTTGATGGTAGTGGCCTCACAGTGGCTCTGGGCACATGTGCACCTGCTGAGCTGTCCAAGCATCTGGAGACCTCTCATGGCAGTCACTTTGCCTCTCTGTCAGCTGTTTTCAGGGTCAGACCTCTGGGTCTTAAGCAACCATGTGGCCGGGTGACACGGTACCTGCAAGGGAAGCGGCGCCCTCCAGTATTGACTCTGGGTCCCATATGCCCGGCCTCGGCACAGGTGAGGCCCTCATGGACCAGAGGCACTTCTTCCTCATGCTGGTGTGCTTGACCTGCTCACTGCGTCTAACAAAGGAGCCTCCTTTCTGCAATCATCCTTGTACCTGGCTGGAGAAGAGGCCACACCGTCGGGGCTGCAGAGGATCGGGATCAGCCTGGCCGGTTGGCAAGGTCAGAAGGCTATTGTGAACACCTCTCTTGCTTCACCAAGAAGCCAAGGAAACATCTTTAGAAACCACACCATATAAAGAGAAGCCTGCTAGGAACTCCCAGATGGAGGTGAAAACTGGTTGTGTCATCTTTCCACCCCTTGGGCACACTAGGATGTGGGGAACATTGCTCCCTGCACATGAGTGCTGGCCCCTTCCTGTTTTCATCATGCTGTGGGCAATTCCCACGCCCAGAGAACCTGTGGGTCCAGAGGGGCAGAAGAGGAGAAATGAAGCAGTCCTTGGCACAGACTGTTTGACCTTGGGGCTGCGTGTCTGGCACCCGAGGACTTGGTGCTTAGCTAGAAGTGAGGAGCAGAACTTGCCAAGCTGGGGGAAGCCCAACCCCCATCTGTGGTGAAAGGGTAGAGCAGGGCCAACAGCAGGGGTGATACACTGGTCCAGCTTGGGCCTCAGGCAGTGAAGAACATGCTTCGGTGTTTCTGTTACACAGCTTCCTTCCCTAGAAGCGTGGAGGTTTATGGTGGTTATTCTGGGTGGCATTCCTGGTGCCAGCCTGAGCCCTGAGGGCTGTGGTCCTAACGAAAGGGGCTGGAGTGCTGGGACCCTCCTGACCTTGTCACAGGGCTTGTGTGCAATGTACTATGGGATTTGGACCTGCACCTGGGCTCAGTGCAGGCTTCCTTCCCTCCCATACTTAGGCTGTTCCAGTCCAGGTGATAAATAGGGCTCAGGGAAGGGGCCTTGAGTGCGATGGTTCAGTCCAGGTCCTGACCCATCCAGGCCAGGCCAGGCCAGCGTGTCTTCAAGCCTCACCTGCGTGCTGGGTGATGGCCAGAAGGGAGCAACACAGCTTGTAGTCGCAGACGGGCAGGTTGAGGGCATAGGTGGTGAGTGGAACAGCTTCCTAGACCCCAGGCCCTCTCCCTTGCCTCCTGCTTAGATTCACATAGAATTAGGCTATTATTTTTGCATTAGCTGTTAAGTTATTGCCTTCTGAAATTCAGAAGGCATCTAATAAATTTAAGGAAGATATGAAATGTGGAAAGCACCCAGGGGTCAGTGTTGACAGTTTACAGGTCAGATCAGAAGATAACAAGAGAACAGAGAGGAGTAAGATTTGGGCTCTGTGGAGAGGGCCCTGAGCGCCCCTCGTGACTGCAGCACAGCCCAGGCAGCACTGACGCCGCCCCTCACAGATGGGGCCAGAGCGCCGCCCCACGTGTTGCTCTGTCTTTGTGCTCCATCCCCCATTCCCTGAGGGTGACTGCCAAGGCGCTCACCGCACACCTTGATGGTCTGCACACTGCAGAGAGGGCTCTGAGAACGCTGCCTACCACATGGAGGCCGCCAGTGACGGAAGTCTAGCATCGGCCTCCCCTGGGCCCTCTCAAGCCACGCATCCTACGGTGTCTCCATTGTCTCGCAGCAGGTTCGGAGGCCACGGCCTCAGGAGGTGATGCTCTTGGTGGGAAATGTAGAAGGGTCACAAAGGCTTTAAATTGTTGGACAGCAGGTGTGTGTTGCTGCCCTGTAGGTGTCATTGGCTTTGGAAGAGATTACCGAGGAACAAAGACCTGCCTGCAAGTGGTCCCACCACCAGAACAGTCCTGGCTGGAGCTCAGCCTCTGTGTCTACTTAGCAAAAATAATTAAAAACACCAAAACAGACCTTTCCGTTTATTTTCATTTGTCTTCAGTGTTTGCTCTGGGTTCCCCAGTGAGTGGGCACGGTGTGATACCAGTGATGGTCTCACCAAGGTCGGGTGCTGTGAGGTGGGTACAGTACCTTTCTTCCTGTGAGGAAGCGAGCGTGGAGAGATCACGGCAGGCAGCAACAGAGGAGCACTGGAACCTAGGCATCTGGTGGCTATGCCGCCCTGCTGCGTGCTGAGGCCTGTGATGGAGCCCACTGGTGCTGATGTGCCCAGGAGGTGGCGTCTCCCTGGCTCTGTGTGACGCTTCTCCATGACCCTCTCCCAGCCTAAGCAATGGCTGCAGTGGGGTGGCGGTGGACTCCTGGCGGCACTTGAGTTGGGAGGTGGCATCGTTTGTCTTTGGCCCTAGGAACCCAGTGTCTGTTTGCATGTTCCATAGCTCTGCCCTGCCTTAGTAAGTGAAGACTTGGAAGTGAGTGAATCCCAGCTTAAAGGTTAGTTGTCAGGTACAGGCATTCCTTATCCTTTTCCCAAAACTAGATCATTCAGTGAACTTGTCGTTAAATGAGGAACTATAGGGGCTGGTGAGATGGCGCAGTGGTCTAAAGCACCTACTTAGAACAGGCTTGGCAAAGCACAGGGACCGCGGTTCAATCCCCCAGCACCACATGCCAGCCAGCCCTGCCCCCTGGTGGGCTGAGCTGGCCACACACACACACACACACACACACACACACACACACACACACACAAATAAAATTAAAAAGGAAAAAAAAAATGAACTATATAGATATGTATTATAGTAGTCAGACAAAGTCCAAGGGAACTCCAGCTTGATGACTTGGGTTTCCTTTGCTTAACTCTTCCACACAGTACTGTAATGTATAACAGAACAGAAGTCTACCGTACTGCACAGTGGGCTTAGCCAGGATGGCAGCACTAGGTGAAGTGACTGCCTCTGCTGCATTGTTAGCCTGAATCTGGCCCTCAAGTCCGAAACAGCTTTAACCAGGCCAGTTGTTCAATGAGAAATGTCTTTACATTCCCGGTCCCTGCACTTGTCAGTAGAGGCTGCAGAGGGAACCCCCTTAGTACTTGGCACACTACTTCCTGTTCTGTGTTCCCCAAGTCTCACCAGTTCTAGGAGTCAGAGGAAGAAGCTGAGGCGGAGGGTGTGTAAATGACAGCTGTCCTTTTCTTCAGGAGGGCAGGAACAGGGCTGTGGTAACTCATGCACTAGCCTTTGTAGCGCTCTCCTCTTCTTTCCTGAGCATGCCTACATTTTAGTCAGGATTGATGGTTACAAGCAGCAGAAGCTCACTCACTGTCTGCATGGCTGGAACAGGAGCGTGCTCTTGGGTGCTCTGCAGGTTGGCACCTCCTGCCTGCCATGCGCCTTGTGGCCTCTGCTGACTGTGCTGAAGGGCCCTGTGTTGTCAAGACGCACAGCTAGAGTTGAGGGTGGGTGGCTGGTGTCTGTTCCAATTCTGAAGACCCCTGATTGACCTAAACTACTGCAGGCTGCCTAGCCTTCCTGCCCTGTCCAAGGAGGAGCTCACGTCGTTCCTTTCTAAGAAGGGAAGAGGCTGCTGGGCTAATTAGACACATGTGATGCAACGTAAGCGTGAAGAGGCCCTGCATCCCCTCACCACACCCCTACCTGTCCCTGCCTGCTGCTCATGGCTCAGTTGTCTTTGTTACTTTTTTCATTGCTGAGAGAAAATATTCTTCAGCCAAAGAAGGGAAGGTTTATTTAGCTCACGGTTTGTAAAGGTTTCAGCCCATAGTCCACTTGCTTCAAGGCAGGGCAGCAAAGAGCAGAGAGGCAGTAGTTACTAGCAGCAGGAGACAGCAAAAGCCCCAGAGGCTTGTGGCCAACTGCTTTCTCTCCCTTACATTGTATGCAGGCTGCCTACCCCAGGGCAGGTGCAGCATTCACACCATCCATTGTGACCCCTGCCCATGGATACCTGAGGCTTTGGGGGACATCCAGACACAAACCCTAAGGCTAATGCAGCATCAAAATCAGAAACTGACTTGGGTACAGTAGGTGTCATTGTATCCCTGTGGCTACCTCTAAGTCACAGGCTCTCTCCCTTGCACTGCCCTTGTTGGTCCCTCCCATGCCTAGCTGCCATTCCAAACGTGTAGCAAGCACCCAGCTCTGCTGCATCTCTAAATAGAACAGCGTATAAATAGATTTGTGCAGTGTGACCTTTTGAGGTTTTTTCCACCCGTGTGATTCCCTTGGTGTCTGTCCAAGTTGTGTACATCTGGAGTTCATTCTGTTTTTTGCCGAATCACGCCTGGTGATTGGCTGGCTCAGTGCAACCGGAGCAGGGCCAGCTCAGCCTGTGGTGCTGGGGATGGAAGCCTGGTCCCTGCTCTTGCCTAAGCAGGTACTTGGTCTGCTGTGCTATCTTGCTGGCCCTTGATTAGTGTTTATATATTTTTTCCATTCTCTTCCTTCAACCTACCTGTGTCGTTACATTGGAAGTAATTGTCCTGTAGAAAGGCTGCATTTTGTATGTGCTTTTTCTTTCTCTGCCAGTCTTAATTCCCCAGCCCTAAAGTGACCTCATACACCTGGCTTTCCACAGTGCGCTGGTTTCCACATTCCCCCTCCTGACTCAGCTCTTCACTCAGCTTTTTAAGTCTGTGCCTTTTACCTTCCTGGCAGGTTTAGAGAATGCTGAGCACTTTCTTTTCAGCCTACCCTCACTTTCTGTCCTTCAGTTGCCCCACTGTTGAAACTTCAGATATGGTCTTTAGATGTGATCCATCTGCTGTGCTGCTCTCTGCTTGTATTGTGTGACTTCTGTCCTGCAAGGTCAACAGTTCTTTCCTGTGTCCCCTGTAGTTTGCTGTTGAACTTATCCATTGGATTGACTCCACTTTTCAATGCTAAAAGTTGTTTTTGTTCTGTCTGCTATTCCTCTGCTGAGAATTTCTTTTTCACTTGTTCCCAATGTGTTCATGATGACTCTTTGAAGTGCCTTTTATGGTGCTGCTTGAAGATCCTGTCAGACAGTTCTTAATTGGGTCCTTGTGTTGGCACCTGTTCACTGTCTCTCCTCATTCACGTTGAGATTCCCTTGGTTCTTGGTGTTCTCAGAGTGGATTTGAATGAGTGACCCTGCCCTGGCAGGGGGAAAGTCTGGCTCCCCACTGTGACATGGGCAGGGTGGATGGGAGGCTTCTTCCCCCCGTGTGCAAGTGGGGGTCCAGGACCCACTCATGCCGGCCTGATGGGGCAGGGTGGCACCTTGTTAGTCACCCCAACTTGGCCTCCTCTGCTTCATGTGGATGCTGTGAAGGTGAGCACGGTGCACTCTGGAGGAAAGGTTTTGGCTTTTAAGGGTGGTTTCTTTTTGTTTTTATGTGTGTGGTACAGGGTCTTACTAGGCAGCTTGGACTTGTGGTCATCCTCCTGTTTTCAGCCTTCCCAGCACTGGGATCATAGGTGTGCACCACCACGCCTGGTCTCGGTGGCTGACTCAGTGTGTCCTGGGGGCGGGGCCAGTACAGCATGTGGGGATCAAATCGCAGTCCCTGCACTTGCCTGAATAGGTGCTTAGTCTGTGGAGCTTTCTTGCCAGCCCTCTTTTTATTTTTAGGACAAGGCCTTCCTATGCAGTTAGGCTGGCCTCGAACTCACTCTGTAGTTGAGGATGGCCTCAAACCTCGGCCATCCTCCTGCCTCAGCCTCTCAAATGCTGGATTATAGGTGTGCACTACTACACCCAGCTAAAGGGAAGCTCTTAATGGGCTCACTTCCACGAGGATGATAGCTGGCCCAGAGTTCCTCTTTTGGTGGTGGGGCAGGCAGTGGGGTCAGTTTTGTCAAGCTGACTCCCAGTGGCCATGTGGCTGAGTAGAGGAGACATCCCTCCACTGGCCTGGGGCAGCTGTTTCATGATGGGCTCATGCACCACAGGCCCATCCTGTGGCCCTGTGCTGTTGTGGGCTTTCTTGTCCTTTTGCTGCCTGTTCCTGACACGAGCATGCCCAAATTCCCACGGCCCCACCTCCTCGCCAGTATTCTTTTTTTTTTTTTTTTAATTTTATTTATTTATATGTTGGGGGGGCAGCTCAGCCCACCAGGGGGCGGGGCTGGCTGGCATGTGGTGCTGGGGGATTGAACCGCGCGGTCCCTGTGCTTTGCTAAGCTTGTTCTAAGTAGGTGCTTTAGACCACTGAGCCATCTCACCAGCCCCTCCTTGCCAGTATTCTAACGCTGATCTTTGTCCATGCAGCCAGCCTATTTGCAGCCTTAATCATCTGTCCATTTACATCCATCTCACTTAAAAGAAGCAAGCTGGCCCAGAGTTCTGCCCACTAGGAGGCTTCTGTTTATCTGTCTTTAGTGTCACTGTTTGCCTTTGTGAGGGCCGCCATGGGGGGACCTCCCTGTGGATCAAGATCAAGCCCACGGTATTTCTTCTTACATTTGGTCATGAGGAGCACATGGTGGGGCACAGAGGACGTTTGAGAGAGGAGGCGAAGCAGCAGGCTCCTGTGTTGAAGGGTCTTGCGTGCTTGTGCCTTCTGTACCTGCTCAGTCACAGGTAAATAATTCTGAATTCGTAATGAGATGCCCCCCTCACATGGTGACTTGATGGCTCCTGGTTAAGTGGCCATTGTTCTCTGGGACTAGTGTAAAACAAAGATGTTTCCCAAGTGGACCTAGTTATCTAAAGAACAGGGTGAAGTTTGCACCCCACCCATCCAGTTCCGTACTGTGACTCTCCTGTTGGTGTTTGCTGGGTGTCACATACACGTGTGTGTGGATGCGCTGGGTCCTGAGGCCTGCTGGAAGAGCACCTGATTGTCAACCTGGATATGTCTGTCTGTCTGTCTGTCTGTCTGTCTGTCTGTCTCTCTCTCTCTCTCTCTCTCTCTCTCTCTCTCTCCTCTCTTATACCAGGGATCAAATGGGACCTTGCTCTTGCCAGGCAGGCACTTAGGCCACTAAACTATCTCTGTGACCCTCAAAAATTTCTCTTCAGGCCA